GAGATTTGAATAAAGACAGCAAAGCACTTCCGGTCATCTCTGAGGAGGCGGACATTTGTTCCAGAAAGAAGACCTCCACCCCCACCCACCCCACCTGTCGAGTAGCTGGCCTGGTCCCAGGCCTTGAGGTCATGCCTGGTCATACCGAGGCGCTGTGTTCCTGGCACTGGAAACCAGTGGGCAGACCTGGCATCGGATTCCTTCTGCATCTTTATCACTGGAAAAGCCTGCCCTCAGCCCAGCCTGGCTGGAGAATGTGGATTTTGAAAAAGGAGGCATCTCTTTGTGGATGATTCAGCACAAGCAGCAGATCAGGAACTTGGAGGCCAGGCCCTCCCATCAGCCTCTGCTCTCCTGCAGCTACCTCGGCAGAGCCCCAGCCTGCACCTGCTGAATGGGATCCTCAGTGTGCCCACGGAGGCTGGGCACCGTGCCACTCCTCTCTTCAAGAACACCACCACCTGGCGGGCTGCCAGGAACAGCCAAGCCCCACGGACATCACTCCCAGGAATTCAACCACAGGGAAAGCAAATGCACCAGATTTCATGACTGTTATAATGAGCTTGGCAAATAAGCCCCCAGATACACAGCTGGAGCTGGTGATCCGAATGCTTTCTGAGGACACACTGTGACAGTGGTGGCAAATGCACATCTTCACAGCACACAAGCTCACTGAAGAATGTCACAAGCCTGTGGTTGTTCAACAACACGCCAGGGACAGCAGTGGCAGCGGGGTCTCCATGCACAGGAAGCAGGGCTTATTCTGACAGACTAAATGGCATCAAAGGAAAAACAGTGCAGATATTAAATGCTAACCAGTGTGATGGGGTCTAAACGGCAACTCGTACTCAGCGCCATGGGTGGACACAGCTCAAGAAGGTGACCTTGCAAAGAAAGGCATTCTAGTTGGAGATACTCGGATCAAGGCTGAGAATGCGAACCTCCCTGGTGGTCTTCCAACCTGCTCACCTACGGAGATTTTCTTAGGTGGGGGAGCAGAGGAAAAAGGTCACCTTCAGAGGCTATTCTGCTTATCTTTCTATCTCTACGTAGGAAAAACCTTGCCCCATCTCCAGGTCCTCAGGCAGCATCCAAATGTTTGTCCATTATCCAGCCCCCCTTGGGGAGCAAATCACCCTGGGTCCTAAAAGGTTTGTTTTTGCCTTTGAGGGTCATGCTCCCAGGTGTAGAGTGAAGTCGGCCCTACCATCTTGGTCACAGCAGATGGGACCAGGAGTCCACGCTGCTGTCACACCTTTGGGTGGGGCTGGGACAAAGGAACAGCTCTGGTCAACAGGGCTGCACCATATTGAGGGGCAGTAAACCAACCCAATCAGCCCCTCTTTTAGGGGAAAGCAGGGGGAAAACAAGCAGGTTGGCTACTTCACCATGACATGTCACAGGGAGACTCACCCTTTATTCTGGTGGCTCCACAAGGCTGGCTGACCACCTGCCTGAAATTTTAGGGATTCAGAGAAATTGTTGAGCTGAAGTGATGATCCCCAAGTTCCAAGCAGCCTTGGACTTGTCTTCTATGACTAAAGGTTACATCTTTCCTGGGACTCTAAATAGATGGCAAGTCTGAACCCAAGATTTGAGGAGAGACGTGTGGGGAGGGATGAGTCTGGCAGGACTGGGGTCCAGGGAAGGGGAGAAGGGTGACCTCCTCTGTCCACAGCTGGCTTCTATTCCCATGAGCCCTCAGCCCAGACTACTTCTGAACTTGCAGTGAGATTTTTGATCTGAACTGAGTCATGGCCAGGTAGACGGAATCCAAAAACTCCTTGGGATTGTCCTAAGAAAAAATACCAAGACCCTGCAGTAGCCTCGCCAGGTCCAAAGTAGGGCAGATTCTCCTGTTTGTTATTATCAGCACTGTGAGAATGTGTCTTGATTTGCTGAGCCAACACAATTTCACACACTTTGTAGCATCTGCTCTGCTCAGTACCTCAGACAGCCTTTGGGAAATGAGGGGGCACAACTCAGAGAGGTTATCTGCCGGGTGCATGGTCAAAGCAGACTGAAGCCAGCCACCCCACTAGAGGCTGGGGCCAGGCTCCTCTCATGATTGCACTGCTCCTAAAGGGAAAGGGATGCTTTCTGCTCCTTCAAGGCAGTTTCCTGGCATCTGCCTGCACCCTTGGCTACAGTTCAGGATTGTTACCATTAAATGAGGCCTCCTGATATCTCTCCAGTAAATGACAAGCACAGACAAGCCAGAGAGCTGCCAATCAGTGAATTCGCCTCCTAAATTTCAGATGCAAAAGAGGAGCACTCAGAAGGGCATCAACAACCACACATGGTCCCGGGGTCTCTGTTTCCATATTCTGGGTCTCTAGCAAGTCACACAGCAGGGGGAAGTGATGGCACCAGCTGTGAGCCCTCTGAAATTCTTCAAGATTGTGTATGTTAGTGCTTTGTCAGGAAGAGTGGCCACAGTTTTCTGAGGGTCTCAAAAAGGGTACGTAGTTGAGGAGGTTATAAACCACAAAAAATGAGGATCCAGAGTCCCCTCCAATCCTAGGGCCCCGGGCCCACACACATCTGGCAGCTAAATACATGTTATCAAACCTGGAAGAAAGTGCTGTGCAAATGGGGGTGGCTGTTATTATCTGGGTGGCTATCACTCCCGGCCTATACTGCTCCTTGTTGCCCAGCCTGTGAGTCCTGGACAGAATCCTACCTTGGGGCTGGCAGCCCCTGTGTCCAGGCCCATTGTGTTACCAAAGACACATTCTATCTGACCCCCAGGGAGGCCTGGGTGTTTTCATGTCTCCCAGTGACTGCTCATTCCCTTTCTGAACATCACCACCTCCAGACTAGAGGAAGAAACTGGAAAGGAAAATACGATTTGGGAGAAAGTCACTTCAGTATACCACACAGATCCAGCTCCACAATCTTCCCAACAGCCTCAGGGTCCTAGAAAACCCCTCAGGGTCCTAGAAAATCACCTCTCTGTTGCTGGAAACCCATTTTGGCTCTTACACTGCCCGGCCCCCCGACCACTTCCTGGAGGGTTCCTGATCAAGCAACAGCCCCCTGGGCAAGTTCCTTGCTGGTGCTGGACCTCACCATTAGCCAGAGGTCAAGGGGGCTTCACACAGATAGTGGCCACAGGCCCTGAGCTGGAGGGCAAGTTATTCTGCCTCTTTCACAGAACAGGGGAAGTCTGGTCACTCCCCTCCCTCCCCATCAGCCCTGCCCGTCCTGCCACTAAGACAGGTGTCAAGACACAAACAAGGCCAACATTTCTCAGGAAATGATCCCTGTCTCTAGGACCCTGTGGGAGTCACAGGGATACACCTACTCTACAAAAACCTGGGAGAAGCTCAGCTTCCCAGGATGTGAAATCACATTCAGCTAGCGAGGACTGAGGAGCCCAGGGCGTCTGCCTCCTCCTGTGGCCCCACCCGACTGGCCCTGGGAAATGCTGCTTTACTCTTTTCCCTTACCTGCCAAGAAGGGCATGTCTGAACCCTCCCACCTCAGCCAGTCTCGTGTGGGCCCCCCCCCCCCCCCCCCCGCCTTCTGTATCCCCCAAAGCACCCTCCTCCCTGTGCTGGGTGAACAACACGTGATCAGTAAAACCTTCTTATTGTCTGGTGTGCAAATGGGATATGATGGTCTGGAAAATCCATTATTCTGCTTGAAAGCAAGAGTTTTTTCCATAGAGGCCATGCACCGGTTTCTAGTTTTTGAAAGACAAAGAAACACACACTGCTAAAGTTATGTGGTACATAATGCACCTTTCTTTGATGATTCAATTCAAAGAAAGGCACCTGGCGATCCAGCAGCATCTTCTAGATGCTGTTTGGAAAAAAAAAGGCAAGAGCAGCATTGATGCATCTCCTGAAGTCCTCAAGTCTCTGCTTCCCTCTCCCTGTTCAGTACACACCACAGGGACACACACTCCAGGGTAACAGCACACCAGATATGAGGGGGGAGTGCTACAGACTCCAGGAGGGTGTGCACCCCAGTGGATTTTGGAGGCTCCTCCCAGGAAGGAGTCTCTGTCATCAAGGATGAAAAATCTCAGGCCACCTGAGATTTTCCCTCCCCCATCTGCAGTAAACTCCACTACTCATGGGGTCAATTCAGCAAGAATATGGGACCTGCATTTGGTGACTCCCCAAAAGCACAGCCAAGACAACTTGATTGGTGATGCAGGAGGGCAGTTTTGCACGCTGCAAGACACAGCCTTCCCCACTCCCTCAAAAGAAAGTCAGGAAGGAAAACAAGACAAAGAGAGCAGTGGGTAACAGCATCAGCCCCAGGGCAGCCCCAGAGCAGACAGGACTGGCCAGATCTGCAGTCAGTCCCAAACCGGTGGGATAGAGACAGGAACAGGCAGAGGGCAGAGTGCTGGCACCTCCTGAAGTTCCTGCCAGTCAGGGAGTCCACCCAGGAAACCAAGTCCAGCTTCCCTCTGTCTCTCCACTGCTTTCGGCAGGGGCTCACGGCGAGCACCTGTCAAAGTTAGTCAGTGGTGATGAAACGGTTTTCCCCTTGAACCGCAACCCAGCAGGCTTCCCAGGTGCGCAAACCACCCAGGGGCTCTCACCTCCAGAGTTGTGCCCTTGGATTTCCCCTAAGGAAACCAGGACCTCTGCGCATTCCTTGAGGACCCTTGGCAGGGGGTGGCCGCCAGTGGGTAGAGAGGAGAAAAACGCTCTGGCTCAGATCGATCATCCCTCCCTGCGAGTCCTCCCACCAATCATGTCTGGGGACCAGCCTCCTCCCCTGCCTGCGGAGAAGAGAAGCGGGGTCATTACTCCAACAGGTCCCCCCTCACCCGGGCCTCACCCGGCCAGCTTTTCCCCTGCCCTGCCCTGAGGCCTCAAATTCAGAGACAGCCCCGAGGCACCTGCTCCCAGACTGGGCTCCAAGCCCGCGAGAGGGGTCCCTGGGCGGCGCCTCCGGGTGCTCCCCAGCTTCCTCGGGAAGGGGCGGGGCACTCCCGGGGACCGGCGCGCCCCCCCGCGTCCCTTCCCCGCGCTCACCTGGCGCAGGTGCTGCAGCAGCGTCCCCGCCTCCTCCCGCCGGCCCTGGCGCACCATCCGCAGCAGCTCCTGGACCATGCCGACGCGCCGGTGGTAGGGGGGCTGCCCCGCGCCGGCGCCCGCGCGCCCCGCCTTGTCCCCGGCGCGGAGCAGCAGCGATGCCCAGAAGTCGGGCCGCTCGCGGCGGGCGCCGGACGCCGCGCCGGGGCTGGTTCTCTCCGCCAGGCTGCCCTTGGTCTGCCGGGTGCCCATGCCGCCGCCCGTCCGCACGCTCCGCGTTGGGCCGCGACGCCGCGTCCCGGGCTGGCTGCCTGCGCCTCGGCCGCCCGGGCGCGCCCGCCTCCCGGGTAGCAACTTTGGGGGAACTGTTGCGCGCGGGCGGCGCGGGGGCGGGAGGTTGCCCGCGCTCCCCTCGCTCCTCCCTCCCCGCTCCCCGGGCGCGCTCCCCCGGCGCTCGCCGCCAGCCCGCCGGCCCCGCCCCGGCCCGCCCCGCCCCCGGCTCGGGCTCCCGCTCCGGTCTCTGCGCCCGCGCCGCCGCACGCTCCCGCCTTCCTGCCTTCCCCCCTCCCCCCCCCCCCCGCTCTCCTTCCCGCCCCTCGGTTCTGGGCTGGGGGCCTCCGGGCGCCGCCTCCCGGTGCTGTCTCTGGCGCCGCGCCCCCTGCTGGCCGCCGCGTGCGCCTCCCGGGGTCCTGGCGCGGTGGCAGTGGGGGCGCACAGGCCCAGGGGCCTTCGCGGTCGGTCCCCACCAGGTTCCCCAGATGCTTCCTCACCGTGCGCGAGGGTGAGACTCGCGGGAGGTGAAGGGAGGCTGCCGTGTGCCTAACAAGATGGGGGAAGTTGGGCGCATGGGGAGTGGGAGGGAGGGTCTGCAACGCCAGAGCCAGCTCTTTCACAGTAAGCTCTGCTGAGCATCAGCGCCCAAGTCTTCTTGGGACGCTGGTTAAAAACGCAGACTCCAGGGCCTCCCTGGTGGCGCAAGGGGTTAAGACGCAACCTGTGAAGCTGTCCGCAGCCTCTGCAGCACCAGTTCGATCCCAGGCCAGGGAGCTGCCCACATGACGCAGCAGACCTCTCCTGCATCACCCGCAGCAGACCTCTCCTGCATCACCCGCTGCTCCCCTCAGCAGTGTATTTCAGTCAACCTGCCTGTTCTGTTCCCTGCTCTGTCTCTGGTGAATCCTCTCATCTCCTGCACCTCTGGCCTGTTCCCCAATCTTGTATGCATAAATAAATCTTTAAAAAAAAAACAAACAAAAACTCAGACTGCCGGGCCTTGCCCCAGACCCACTGGATGAGACCCTCTGGAGGGGTCTGGGAGAATCTCCCAGTCAGTCTCGGCTGTTTCTGATGTACACTTCTTTGAGATTTGGCCTGTGGAGGTTGGGGGAGGGGAGGGCGGTGATGATAGTGACTGGTGGGTGAACCCAGAAACAAGATTGTGTGTGGGGTGCACAGTGTTTATGGAGAAGGTCTGTTGCTCCTGTCAGTCTCTCAAAGGGTCTGGACCATCAAGGTATCTTCTCCTGTTTTCAGGCTCATACCTCTGGAGAAGGGTCCTGGGGTCATTCCTGGTACCAAAAGGCAGAGCCATGCTTGTAAGTAGGACTAACTGCACAATCCTACACACCCCCCACTCCTCCTCTATCCCTTCCAGGGCACCCCTGCCAGACCTGGCCCTTAAGGGATCAGACTCCCTGGGCTCTAAAGTTACTTGAAAAGCCAACTGTAGTCCTGCCAGAAAGAAGACTAAGGCACTTGGGGGACCTTCCCTGTTCTAGACCACAGGCCACTGTGGGAGGCCTTGATCTTGGTCACTTGCTGCAGGAGGGGTAGCAGTTGTGTGTGCTGGCCTCTGACCCAGGCCCTGGGTTGTGCTATAGGGGAAAAGGACAGTGGAATGCAGGGACAGGAGTGTCAGATCTTACACCACAGCGGCTGGAGCCCACCATGTACTGAAGGAGCATCAAGCTTCTCTGTCTTACGGAGCTAAACTCCAGTTCAAGAATTGGGAAGGTAAGATGAAGGAGATACAGAAACTCCAGGTGTTCCACAAAGGATAGCCCTACTGGTCACCCCCCAATACCTGGCAGAGAATACCCAGTATTCCCATAAGCAGCTTCACAGGGTTTAGAACGATACTCTGCAAACTCGCTCCAACCCTTTGCATGTAGAACATGCCTGTTGGCATCTTCAGAGAGACCAGGCTGGGAAATACTTAGGTGTCTCTCATCTCTGATCTGTGGGCAAGGTGGCCACCACGGAAACCTGCTGACCAGGTCTCTCGCTCCAGTCAGTGGGCTGTATCACCCAGAGGCTGACCACAGCCTGAGCTGGCAGGTTGGCCTGCCTCAGGGTTTGTGGCTAAGGCAAATGCCAACTTAGATGAAGGGGGCTAGGCCAATCCCTCCCCTGGGATTTGAATGCCATCGCTTTCTTCTTGAGAGACTTGATTCCATATGCCCTCTCCTTGCTGCTTCCCTCACCACCAACATCTCCCTATTTTCTGGCTTGTTCTTCTAGGCAAATAATCTCTTCAACTCTCTTCCATCTATTTAGAAAGAAAACATCCATTTCTGCCCCTCCGCTCTGGTTACCAATACCCCCACCTCTCTCCTTTCCAGCTAAACTTTTTGAACTAACTAATTATTGTCACACCTTCTTTGCTTTCATTCATTCCTTACCCACTTCAGTTGGGCTTCTGGCCATAGCACATCACTGAAATGTCTCTTGCCAGTGACCTAGTTGCTAAATTTAGTGGTCACTTTCAGTCTTCATCTTACTTAACTTTATAGCAGCATCTGATTCTGTTGTCTACTTTGTTTTGATGGAAACCCAATTCCCTTAGTTTGTGGGTGCTCTGGGAGGGCCTCTCTTATTCCCATCCTATAGTTGTTGGTGTTGCCTAGGGTCCTGCCAAAAAACTTCTTCCTAGGCAATGTTGCCTATACTCAGGGTTCTACCCACTGCACATATGCTCATGACTCCAAGTCTCTTCCCAACTTATGAGATAGCAAGTTAACCTGTCACTGATTCATGGGTGTTGGCAGAAGACACAAGACTCATGGGCCAGAGACGTAATACTTTGTTACTCAGGCACACCCAGCATGGAGCAGCAACATTAGCATATTTGCATCAGTTCTCTTGGCCTTGGAGCTGTACAGGGCAGTGAGATGGGCCCAGATGGATGTACCCATGTGCAGCAGGTTTCTGTTACAGCCGAGGGACACCGAACTTGGGGATCTGCTGCTTAAATAGGAAGCAGGTAAGCACACTTGTAGACAGAACTCAAGGTTGCTTACTACGAACACAACACTGAGAGGTGGCTCAGGAAAAAGTGGTCCAAGTTTTATGGACCTCCATGGTGGCGCAAGGGGTTAAGATGCAACCTATGAAGCTGTCTGCAGCTGCTGCAGCATGAGTTCAATCCCCTGGCCAAGAAGCTGACCCACATGGTGCAGCAGACCTCTCCTGCTGCTCCCCTCAGCAGTGTATTTCAGTCAATCTGCCTGTTCTGTTCCCCACTCTGTCTCTGGTGAATCCTCTCATGCTCCACACCTCTGGCCTGTACCCCCAGGTCTTATATGCATAAGAAAGAAATCTTTTTTTAAAAAATGTGGTCCAGGTCCTCCCCTGGTGGCACAGCGGTTGAGCGCTGGGCTGCGAAGCTGCCCGCAGCCTCTGCAGCGCTGGTTTGATCCCCGGGTGCCAGCGAGGGTCTCACATGGCACGACAGACCTCTCCTGCCACGCCCGCTGCTCCCCTCAGCAGTGTATTTCGTCAGTCTGTCTGTTCTGTTCCCCGCTTTGGCTCTGGTGAATTCTCTCACCCTCCCGCGCTTCTGACTGTACCCAGTGCTTGTATAAATAAATGTATAAATAAATAAATCTTAAAAAAAAAAAAAGTTGTCCAGGTTTTGCCTTTTTGGCACACACAGCAAGAGACCCATGGAGGGTAATCTCTTCTGACAGTGGGCACTTCATATTCAACAAGTGAGCATCTCCTTCCCAACCTGCATGCTCCTGTCTCTGCTTTCTGTTTGTAATGCAGGTAAGAAAACTTAGAGTCATTCATTGTGTGCTCTAGTTTCTCAGTATCAGGATCTGGTCAACCATGTCATCCAGGTAATGATGCCCAGGACCGTAGCTCTTGTTTGTGCACATTCTGTCCTTTCAACAATGGTGAGGTTGGTTTAGTTATTGTCATGATTTCACAGGTAAGGAGATGGTTTCTCAGAGAGATTAAGTGTCTTGCCCAAGGTCACACAGTGAGAGAAGAGTCAGGAGTCATTTAAGTCTGTTCAAATCAGAAGCCTATGTTGTTAATATTACTTTACATCATTGATCCTGCTGTTTAAATATTACATCCCACAACTACTGCCTTGTGGAGGATCTGTCATTTTTTACCCCATCATTACATTATAATAACCTTCTTTCTAACTATCACCCCACCTCCAGTCTTTGCCATTTCTAATATGTCTTCCATGTAGCAGTTGAAGAGATCATTTTAAAAGGAGACACACACACACACACACACACACACACACACACACACACCCCAACTCTCCCTTTTTCAGTGATTCTTTCTCCGGACTTAACATGGATTCGAGGTCCCCAGGTGCTATACTGTCCTCATGTCCTACAGTTCAGTCATCCCATATGACACCTCTTCCAGGTTGCCATACTTTATGCCTTTGTACATACTGCATTATCTTTCTGAGTTGTCCTCCTCCTTAACAGATGCCTAGTCATCCCTGAAGACTTGGTTTAGGTGTCATCTCCTTCAGGAAGCCCTCCCTGAATGCCTCCTAGAACCTCCTCCATGTGAGTCTACTGTCAATATGTTATCATATCTTGTACCATGTTTCTGTTGTTCCTTTGCACACACTGTTCTGATGGAGCACCCTCTTCCATCCTCTGTTGGGTTAGTCCTTCCATGCCTTTAGGTTAAACTCATCAGGGATGATTTCTGGGACTCCTTTACCCTTGGAAGTGCTCCCAGTCTTACTGCCTGTGCTCAAGGACTGGTTGTCCACCAGTGTCTATGAGCCCAGTACCTGGCACCTTGGAGGAGTTCTGTAAGCATTTATTGAGTGAAAAAATGCATGGCCACTTCCAATGTTGTAGCTTAGTGTCGGGAACTGAGTGTCTGGCGCGCTCGATAAACTGACAGAAGCACTAATATACCAATTGAATTGGTCAACAAGGAAGCTACTGATGATCTTCAGGAAATCAATTTGCATGGGATTAAGGAGT